ATCTTATTCAGATGCACCTTTGCCCCTAGCCCTAAAAAGAATCTGGCTCCCATTTGTCTATGGGTCCCAGAAAAACCTTAAACTTTTAGGTTCCTTATCTACTCTCTTTATCTCCCTTTGAAAGCAAACTTCTACTTTCCAGTTCCCTTCATAATTCTCACCTAGACCCTTTTTTCAACCACCCCCCCCTTCCTCTGGCCACCCAAAGTTACTTTAAGTGTATAAAAGATCCACTCTAACCCCATTTAGATGCTGAGAATCTCTCATGACCAGAGGCTGAGACTCTCATGCCCACTTGTCCTTACGGGCGTCACCTGGCCTATGTCATTTATCTCTAATAAACTTTTTCTCTGGCTGGAAGAAGATTCGAGTTGAATTCTTTCAGGCAGGGTCAGGCACCACGATCTTGGGGTGCCTCTGTGCATCTAGGAGCACCCCAAAACCTCTAGACCTCTTCAGAAGGGGGGGAGGCGAGATTCCTATTGAGTCTGGGCAATTTAATGGGAGTAAGATTGGTACTTTTACACAGAAAAAGACTGTGAGAAGATCTGGATGGGATTAAGGAATGGCAAGTGGGGGGGGGGGGGGGTGTAGACAATGAAAGGAGTTAAGTGGTCAGAGAACCACAGTGAAAGGGCAGTTAAAAGGATTATTGAGTATCTAAATAGAAATGTGTGGGAATGTTCAGGGCAAAGACATGATCTTTTTCTTTTAGGGGTCCACATCCCATCACCCCATCAAAGTCACCTTGTATCTGACTAAATCTTTTCTGAAAACTTAAATGAACTGATGCAAAGTGAAACAAGCTGAGCCAAGAAAACAATAACTACAACAATGTAAATGGAAAGAACAACCATCACAAACAATGGAAAATGAATGTTGCAAAGTTACAAAGAATGTTTGGCGCTAAAGAAGATATGAGAAGATACTACTCTTCCCTCAGCCACGCTCAAGTGTGGGGCATTATAAATTATGTCAGATTTTTTCCAATGTATTGATCAATATTACTAAATTTGTTTTCTTCCTCTTTTTTTTCTTTAAAAAAATCCACTGTTATCAAAGATAGCTCTCTGGAAGAGGAAGAGGGGAGGGAAGATACAAAGGAGAAAACAAAGGAAAGATAACAAAAGATATCAATAAAAATCAATTTTAAAAACTTTTCTGAAATTTGACTCAAACTGTGTTCTTTCGTCCTTGAGTGGTCCTGAAAGAAAGGCGAAAAGTAGTCTAGAGGTTAATATACTTTTCACCAGGAAACTATAAGCTTGTTGAGTCTTAGCCTAAAACAGAAGCAACCTCTCCTGATTGCCGGCTCTACCCTCGCCCTAGGAAAAGAAACAAAATATAATTCAAATAATTTTTCATTTATATTTTCTTCTTCTTCCTCTATTGACTGGGCAGCAACAAGCTAGTCTGGGCTTGTCCTTGAGTGCAGAGGCAAAATCTGTCTGGCACTATCCCATTATGCAGTGTGAGAGCACCAGGAAAAAGATGAGGTAGAGGGTCACAGCCACCCTCGACCACATCCTGTCTCCCTAGCCTCCGGACCTTGTTCTTGCACTACAGAATTGTGAGTGATGGGGCCTTTGGTCTTCCTCCATTTATACCATCATTGTAGGTGTAGCTTGTGTATGACAGAACTAAAGAAGTAATGATGTCCTTATAGTCCAGATGGGGCCTAGAGGTGTCAATCTTAATTATACCAGCTGACTTTACCCACAATGGCCCAGCAAGACGATGCATAATGACAGGAAGGAGGATAAAACATTTTGGCTTTTTGAACTTCCTGCAACCTTAAACCATTCAGCTCTCAATTCCCAACCTGTAACTATGTTCATTCCAGCCATTTCCTTTCCTTCTTTCCCCTTTCCTCCCTCTTCCACCTTTTGCTATTGGAACTATAATCAAATCAACACTATTTCTTCTGGAAAGTGTCAAATGTCCTATGGATCCATTTTAAATTCCACAGATTTCTCAGACCAAAATATCCTACCCAGGTCCAATTCTCCAGTGCATACAGTTTCCTCCATTAAAATGTAAGCTCCCTGAGGGCAGGAAATGTCTTACATCTGCATTTGTAACCTCAGTGCTTAGCAAAGTACCAGGCACAAAGAAAGCACTTAACAGATACACACCAATCTCTTAGTTCTCCCTTCTAAGCACTCTTTTTCAGTCTCTTTCATTGACTCTAGGTGATCCCTTAAAGTAGAGTTTCTCTAAAGTCCTTAGCCTCCTTCTCTTAGATTCTCTACATTCAGTCACTTGGCAATCACATTCACTCTTAAAGTATCAACATTTATCTCTGTTCAAATAACTCCTAAATTTGTGGCTCAGACCCGGAGAGATCCAAATGGACTTCACTTCTCTAAACCTGCACCTTGAATAGATATTTCTACCTAGATGATGCAATAGGTAGTCAAACTCAACAAATCCAAAATGGAGCAGCTCATTCTACTTTGCTACAGCTCCAATGGATAGGCAGTTAGATGACAAAGTGTGGAGATCAGAAAGACTTGAGTTCAAATTTGACCTCAAACACTGACTAATTATAAAATCCTGGGCAAGTCACTTAACTTCAACTCAGTTTCTTCTACTGTAAAATGGGGATCATAATACCATCTACTTCACAGAGTTGTTTCGAGGATCAAAGGAGATATTTGTAAAGTTGCTTAAGCACAGTTCCTGGAATTTAGTTATTACTGTTATTGTTGTCCAGTTGTTTCTGACTTTTTGTGACCCTATGTTTTGGTTTTCTTGGCAGAGATACTGGAGTGGTTTGCCATTTCCTTCTCCAGCTCACTTTACAGATAAGGAAACTGAGGCAAAACAGAGTTAAATGACTTGTCCAGGGTCACCCAGTGAGTAAGTGTCTAAGGCTGGATTTGAACTCATGAAGGTGAGTCTTCCCGATTCTAGGCCCAGTGCTCTATCTAATGCACCACCTGGTGGCCCTGGCATATAGCAGACACTTAATAAATGCTAGTGTAAAGTAGAGCTATCATCTCATTTCTGAACACTACAATTCCAGAACTATATCATGGTGCTGTAGTAGACCAGATAATTTATACACCAAAAGTGGCTATGATTCTAATCCTATGAGTTCTTCATGCATTCATTGATAGTGATCAGTGTTTTCTGGAGTCCCGGTGATGGGCAAAATTTCACAACATTCACAGTCAGTGCTTCTTAAACTGTGGGTCACGACCCCAGTTGGGGTCTTAAAAAATTTGGCAACAGTAAAAGGTTTCTGAATGACAAAAAATTAATTAAAAATTAAACGTGTAACAAATCCAAGGTGTTTCTGGCAGTGCTTGCACATGTTGCATAGCCCAACTTCACTGAAGCCTTGGTTCTGAACACAAAGCATGCGTACTTTGTCCTGCATATGTCCTCCGGCCACACAGCTCCAACAAATGCTGCCAAAACTGGAAAAGGGGTCACTAGTGGAAAAAGTTTAAGAAGCCCTAGATAGCTTACTAGGTCAGTCAATCCACAAAAAATATAAGGAGGAAGATATGAAACATTCAATTCAATTCAACAAGCATTTATTGTGTTTGCTACGAGCCAGGTAAGAGGCAGCATGGTATAATGAATAGAGCTGCATTGACAGTAAGGCAGACAGGGGTTCAAGTCCCGATTCTCATATATACTAGTTGGGTTATACTGACCACATCATTTTACCTCCTTAACATTACCCCAGTCAATTGAGCCTATAATCTAGAGAACAGTGGTGTGAATTCATCCTTATACTGATGAAATCACAGGTCTGGAGAAAAAAAATTATGCCAGGAATTCTGTTAGGTACTAGGAATATAAAGATAAAAGTGAAAACAGTCCCTGTCCTCAAAGAAGGTAATTCCTACCAGATTTAACCTACAGGTGGTAAGTAGAGAGCACAGTGGATAGAGTGCCATGCCTGTAGTCAGGAAGACTCATCTTCATGAGTTCAAATCCCACCTCAAATACTTAAACCATTCAGCTCTCAATTCCCAACCTGTAACTATGTTCATTCTGGCCATTTCCTTTCCTTCTTTCCCCCTTTTTCCCTTTCCCACCTTTTGCTATTGGGACTATAATCAACACTATTTCTTCTGGAAAATGTCAAAGGTCAAATGTCCTAAGTTCCATTTTAAATTCCCTGGGCAAGTCACTTAACCTTGTTTGCCTCAGTTCCCTCACTTGTAAAATGAGCGGGAGAAGGAAATGGCAAACCACTCCAGTATCTTTGCCAAGAAAACCCCAAATGGGGTCACAAGGAGTTGGATATGACTAAAAAAAAAATAAGACTTCCAAAATAAAGATGCCCAGGACACAGAGTGATGCTGTATAAAGAAAAGATGGTAGGAGCAGCACAAACCCTCAAAAACTTGAGCTAAAAGCATTTAACCTGACCTAAGAGACAGAAGAGTCTATTTGGAAATGAGATTCTGGGTGAAAGGAGGGGAGAAATATACTACAAAAGAGCCAGTTAACTGAAGAGAGCTTGAAAACAAATTTCCCAAATTTCAGTACAGTACCCTGACTCTTTTTGGAGATTCAATTACTACTAAATGGAACACTGAAGTGAAAATAATAATAGCTGACATTTATATAGCACCTTAAAGTTTGCAAAGCACTTTACATATGTTTTATCATTTGACCCTCACAACCACTCTGGGAAGGCTATCAACTCCTTCTAACAAATAAGGAAACTGACACTGGGAGAAGTTAAGTGACTGGCCCAAGGTCACACACTGAGGCAGGATCTGAACTCAGGTCTTCCTGACTCCAAGTACAATGTTCTATCTACTGTGTCCCCAAGGTTGCCTATTCTATCAATATCTATCCACGTCCCCGTTCCTGATCTTTGAGGTCAAGTAATGACCAAGATTATCTTCATCCAGCACTTTTGACACAATGAAAACAACTGGAGTACAACTTATTTCAGAATAATTTTAGAAAGATGAGGAAAACTCTTGAGTTGTGACACTGCAATAGACAGATTTCTTAAAATTACATACCTTGAAGAACGATGTTCTGGTTTATTTCTTTCACTTCGATCTGTAAAGAAAGAAGATATTTACATGATAAAATTCTCCTCAGCAGTAGAGGAAAACTTTAATTTCTCAAATACTGTCCTTCCATTCAATTTAATTCACACTTTTTAAGTGCCTACTATGTGCAAGACGTGTTATTGGTATTGGAGATATAAAAACAAAAACAAAATTGTTGAAAGTTGGACTTCACCAGGAGAATAAAAACATGGTACACAGTTAAATAAATGCAAATTAATGTCTGCGTGTGAGATAACCCTGACAATTGGGGTGATTATGGAAGGGATCTTGAAGGAGATAGCATCATCTAAATTAAACCTTGAAAAAGATAATGAGTCTAACAAATAGATGCAAGGGGCAGCTAGGTGGCATAGTGGATAGAGCTCCGGCCTTGGAGTTAGTAGGATGTGAGTTCAACACTTACTAGATGTGTGACCCTGGGCAAGTCACTTAAGCCCGATTGCCTCACCAAAAAAAGAAAAGAAATAGAAATGAAAAGGGAAAATCCTCCTAGCATTGAGAGTGGAAGGATAGCCTAGATCAATCAATCAAAGCCCCTATGTGCCAGGCCCCATGCTGGGTGTTGTGGATACAAATACAAAGAATGGAACAATCCCTGCTCTCAAGAAATTGACATTCTATCAATGCACAGAAATTGAAGATGTGATGCTGAGTCTGGGGAATTCATTCCAGTTAAGTAATCCAGTTTGGCTGGAATGCAGATTGTATAGAGGTTAACAATGGGCAATAAGACCAAAAGAGTAGGTTGGGACTAGATTTCAGATCTGAAATGACAGACCAAATCTCCTTCTTTTCCATCGGAAGGTGGGGAACTATGCCTGCAGAATGTTGCATAAACTGTCAGATGAGATTGCTACATAGGTTGCTTTTGCTTATCTATTTTTCTTTCTAACTAGGGCAGGCTCATTGGGTGGTGGTGATGATATATCCTGAAATGATTGTGATGTCCAAAGAAAAGGCATCAATAAAACACTCATTTTTTTTCAAGGCAATCTGGTTAAGTGACCTGCCCAGGGTCACACAGCTAGTGTCAAGTGTCTGAGGCCGCATTTGAACTCAGTTCTTCCTGACTCCAGAGCTGGTGCTCTATTTAACTGAGCCACCTACCTGCCCTAAAATATTCATTTTTCAAGAAAAGCCAGGCTAAGCTTTGTATTTTACCCTAGAGGAAGTAGGGAGCTACTGAAAATTTTTTTAAGCAGAGAAGTGGTATGGTCAAGCCTGTGCCCTGGGAAGATTTTTTTTTTGATGGCTGTGATTCTACATAGCTGAAGTTTCTTTATAAAAAATAAATAAATAAATGGCAATTCAAAACAAATGCTGTGTCCTGCCCTTTACAGGAATCATTATCTGAGCTGAGAGGGTTTGTCTAGCTGAAGAGATGATGGTATGATGACACAGCTCATAAAGTTTATTACTTATTAAAAATCATCTTCTCAGAAAAAGCAGCATTCTGTGGATTTATTTATTTTCAACTTTAGCTGTTTTAACTCCCTTGCCAAAACCACAAAAGACTTTAGCTAAGGGGGGGGAAAGTAAGGAAACCAGAAAACCACAGATTACTCAGTCCAAAAAAATCATTCCATGAATCATGGCTGGCAGAAGTCCCCAAAAGGGTGGGGAGGGGGAAATGTAGCAGTCTGCTAAAGAACATCTGCAAATGCAGAGAAGCTGGCTAAACTCCTTCATTAACTCCCTAGCTCCCAGAAATTTTTAGACTTTAAATTTGAATGCTAACCCCCGGAGATAAGTTTTACAAAGAAGACAAAGAGTGGCTGCTTAACATTTCTTAAGCATTTGACTTGGAGTCAAAAGCCAGCTCCAGCCTACACACTTAAGTAAGGAATCACTTAACTTCCATGATTCTCAGTTTTCTCCCATTTAAAACAAAAGGGTTAGACTGGATTTTAAAATTCTTTCCACATCTAAATCCAATGAGCTTAAGCAATCAAGAAAAAGAATTAACTAACTCAATGAAACTTTACATAAAACCCACAAGTTATCTTTTCCTCCCTACTAAAAATTAGCCCACCAATATAAATATCTGGAAAAGTAAAAAAAATAAAAAAATTTTTAAAGGACCTTCCCTGTCGCCCACCTTCTTTGAAAGTAACAACTCTGGAAAACCATTATAAGCAACAGTGTTCCTATATTACATCCTTAATTTCATAGCAATAAAACAGCTGTACGGGGATGTTTTCCTCTCCTTTTCACCATTTGGAGACCAGGTAAGGATAAGGCTGGAAGTATGCAAATGAGAGAAGGAATGGAGTTAATTCAGTTCAGTTTAAAGTGATACCAATCCTCAAACCTGACGGTCGAACTCCTAAGTAAACATCTTTTCTTAGCCAAGGATTTGGCATGTGTGTGATTAGGAATTAGGAGTCTTCATGAAAAAGCTAAGGACTACTTGGTTCAGTGTATTTCCGTACCTAATACAAGATGGAAATGTGTTGGTGGTTCTAATTTGCTTCCCATTTGCATTTGATCTGACATTCCTAAAGCTCTTTGAAATAAGTCAGGCTTTACCCGTCTCTTCAAGAACCAGAACCTGCTTTTTTACCCATCAGGTACTAACATCTATTTAGCTCACACCTCAGCCAATCCCGAAACAGTAAGTTTCTTACCAACTTTTCCCCCTCAGCTTACCAGCAAGGTTTCACACTGACACCTGATGCTTCTATTTACTCACAAAGATAACCCTTCTCATCCACCCTTAGTATTTACCCAGGCAACCGCTCTTACCCGTGGCTAATAATGACCTGAAAGAAGTTTCTACTCAGCAGGGAGGGATGTCGCTGGCTGCTAGGGTCCTAGTTTCCCGCGGTGGCAAGATCTTTGTGGTACACAGAGAATATGAAGGCACCAGTAAGAGGAGGAGAAATAGAGTCACAGTCCATGTAAACAACAGACAGCATCACAGAGCTTCCCTCCAGGGCTCACTTCTGATTGGCAGATGGGCTATGACCAGGCTGAACAACTGGAATGCTGTCATTCGGGAAGTTAATGTAATGGAGTTCACTTTTCCTTTTCCTTCTCTCTGGCAAAACGCGATCTCTGGATTTTCTGTATCTTTTGACTCTCAAAACATATGGGAGCTTTACTCTTGTGTGGAGCTATTTTTTTTTTAATCTAGGAGGTTGATTTTGTAACCTATAAATGTCATATTTTCTCTAAAGTTCATTCACATGTACCCACATTCCTACACACACACAAATATATATATATATATATATTTTATATATATATGTGTGTGTGTATATATATATATAATATACACAAACTCTGTACATATAATACTCAGATCCCATATAAGTTTTAACAATTTGAGTCTAAGGGGTGAGTAATCAAATATATTGGAGAATATACCCCATGCCTGACCACTGAAAACAAAACTGAAACTTGTGTTTTGGTTTTATCTTGCTGAATGTCCACAGTTCTCTCCCTTTCTCCCTTGTACTAAGTGATTATAGAAAGCCTTGTTTGGGAACAATATCCTTTTCTTTTTCTTTCCTTTTTCCCCCTCTTCCCACTGCAAAAGGCAAAGATGGACCTGGGTGCCAAGAAGTGCTGGGTGCCGTGTAAAAACTCCCTATTTCTGATAAAATATGGAGTCGCCATGATTAATTCCAGAAGCCGAAGGGGAACAAAACCAAGCCTGGAAGGCAGATTTTAGGTACTGATTTCTTGCCAACAAAGACAGAAAAAAAAAAACAAACCTGGACATAAATACCCAAAAGCAGCATAAGAAATGACTATGAGACAATACAGTGATTTTAGTTTGGCTCTAGCATTCCAATCCTACAGAGAGATGCAATGTGGTATAGTGGATAGAGTCCAAAAGATCTGAGTTCAAACCCTGTGCCTGACATTTCATAGCCATGTGACCATGTGAAGATCACTTAATCTGTGTAAGCCTCAAGTGCCTCATCTGTAATTGGGAATAATAATATCTGTGGTAGCTATTTTTCAGGGTTGTTGCAAGGCTCAAAGGGACATGATGTATGAAAAACACTTGGCAAATTTTAAGCTTCTCCCCACTTCAGTCCATCATCCACTCAGCTTTCAGACTGATCTTCTTAAAGCACAGGTCTGATCATGTCTCCCCACTGTTCAACAAACTCCAATGACTGATTCCCTATCATCTCCAAGATCAAACACACGATTCTTTGGCATTCAAACCCCTTCATAATCTGCCCCCCTCCAATACTTCTGGTTTTCTTACCCCTTATTCCCTCCATGTGTGCTCTGTGATCCAGTGACATTGGCCTTCCTACTGTTCCTGGCACAAGACGCTTCATCGGCATTTTCACTGGCTGCCCCATACCTGAAAGTCTTTGCCACTTCATCTCTGACCTGGCTTCTTGGCTTCCTGCGTTCAGCTAAAATTCAACCTTCTATAGGCCTTTCCTGATATCCCTTAATGAGAGTTCCTTCCCTCTGTTGATTATCTCCAATTTTTTCTTCTGTATATATCCTATTAGTACATAGTCGTTTGCATGCTGTCTCTCCCATTAGACCATAAGCTTCTTAACAGCAAGGACTATCTTTTGCATTTTTTTGTATCCTCAATACTAAACACAGGGCCTGACACATAATAGGTGCTTAATAAATGCTTGTTGTTATTACATAAATTTCATTTATTTATTTATTGATTTTTCACCTTCAGCCTCTCCCTCTCATCAGCTCCTTCTCCTTCCTCCTTTGACCATGCTCAAGTTTCCTGTATTCTAAAAAACAAAAACAAGCCCCTTCCCATGGCCTCAAGATAACTTTGTTTCTTTCCCCCTTTACTTCCAAACTCCTGGAAAGCATAGATTACACCTACTGTTTCAGCTTCTTCACAACTTACTTCCCTAATGGCAAATCCTTCAACTGCCTTACATAGTCATTACTCCTGAAATTATTGTGTCTTAAAGGACAGTAATAACTTCTTGTGGTCATAACTTATAAGTAATAACTTCCAGTGGTCTTCTCTCTCAGTCC